CGCCGTCAAGGTCAGGTGATGATGGGTGCTCACATCCCAAATCTCCTCCTGCAGGTTCGGGTGGTGATGGGTGCCCACATCCCAGTTCTCCCTCCTGCACGTTCAGGTGGTGATGGGTGACCACATCCCAATCCTCCTCCTGCAGGTTCAGGTGATGATGGGTGCTGGATGAAGGCTGTCGTGCAGCCCCAATATTACGCTGCTTTTGCATGCTTTGCTTTGCAAGCTTTTCCTTTTCTAACCCGTATTTTAATGGAAGAACTGATGTGGCTTTAACAGGGTAAGTTATCGCATGAGCAAACCTCACTGGGTGAGATGTCCCTTTCATCACACACTCCTGCAGGGTCACAGCAGCTCCCCGTGCTGGCAGCATCCAAACCAGCTCCCTGCAGGGTTGTAACCCAACCCATGCCTGGTTAAAAGCTGCCCAGACTCCTCCTTTTCTGAGGCAGAGCTGTTGGGAAGTGTCAGTAAATAAAACATCTGAAGAGGAGCAGGGGGGTAAGGCCAGGTTTGCTCTCATTTTTAAAGGTGGGGAGCAGCAGCGTGGAGATCTTTGCTTTCCCCTCCACCCCTCACCAGCACCAACTCATTTCACAGCTATTTTTGTGAAGCCTTTACAACGCAGCACGCCACATTCTCCCGGGAAGAAAGCGTCACTTGAAGTTTTCTATTCAGCCAATTTGGATCGTTAACATGGAAACTCCTGCAGGAAAACAGAACGGCCTCGGATGAAAGAGGCCCTTTGTACCTTCTTCTTCTGCTCGCTCCAGTTCAGCTCTTTCCCCATGATGTCCACGATCCTTGGCAGGGCTTCCTCCGCCGCCTGCACGTTCAGGAAGGCCAAGCGAGTGCGTCGGGAAATGATATCCACTGCGGTACGGGCGTACTCCTTCACGCCATAGACCACCTACGGCAGCGAGACCGGGGGGAAACGCAGATGAGAACGGCACCAGGCATCGTCCGAAATGATGCTCAGCATCACACAATGAACCTTCTGTAAAGAGTCCCCACCCAACCGAGGGAAGGGCTTGGAAAGCTCCCTTTGCCTTGGAATGTTTTACAAAACGCATCTCGGATCAAACATGGGGTTTTTTATTTCATATATACACTATATAAATAGTTAATTATGTATAAATATAGTTATGTATGTATATAAACAAATAAATATAAAGCATGCTTTGGGAAAGGGGAAAAAGCAAGAACGGAAGAAAACCTGGACCTCAAAGCTAAGGGTTTACGGAGGTGTTTTACACAGTGAGACCAAACCGCTCATCCCTAGAGGAAAATCAAAGAACACAAGGCAGTTTTTCCACGTACCTCAGCTTCAATATAAGGAAATTCAGACACCAGACGCTTCCCAACAATTGGCCACCTCTTCCCTGTGACCTGGGCGATTTTGGCCACCTCGAAAGCCTTGTCCCCGTACGTCGACGCCAGATGCTGAGCCACCTACGGAGTTGCAAACACATGTTTTTGAAAGCACATCAAATATACACGCGTTGTTCTTGTCAATTCTCTCATCACCAGCAATAAATAGGCCAAAAAGGGCATCAGATGTTGACTGTGTGGGAGGAAACTGCGTGGGTTGGGAATGGGTTGGACCAGCACTGACCCTGCTGTGGATGCATCAACGTAACCGTGACCAAGGATGCTCCAGCCCTTCTGCTGCCTCCCACCGCATCCAAGGCACAGACTTATTGGACACAAAGGAATGTTCTGTGGAACATGGTTTTGGTTGGAAAAGGCCTTTAAGATCATTCACCCAGCCCTAAGTCCACCACTAGACCATGTCCCTATGCACAGCACCAACCAGAATCATCACAGGACAGCGACTCACCTCGCTCTCGAGCCCGTAGTCCTGCACCAGCCGAATGTAGAGCGTGGGGCTCCAGTCCTCGGCCCCCTGCAGCAGCAGCCCGATGGTTTTACTGGAGCCCGCGTTCAGGTTGTGCTCCTGGATGGCGGCGTCGATGGTGTCCTGCGCCATGGCCCGGTACGTCGTCCACTTCCCGCCTGCAACCACACCATTGCTCCTTCGTTTGGGGGAAGCACGCACAGCTGGTCTGCCCTATACCTATTTATTTCCTATATCACACTATTTGGCCTGCCCTATATCTGTACTTCCTATATCTCACACTATTTGGCCTGCCCTATATCTGAATTTCGTATATCTCCCACGATTTGGCCTGCCCTGTATCTATATTTCCTATATCTCACACTATTTGGCCTGCCCTATATCTATTTCCTATATCACACTATTTGGCCTGCCCTGTATGTATTTTCTATATCACATTATTCCTACTAGACTTGCTCCAAGGATATCTCACACTATTTGGCCTGCCCTATATCTATTTCCTATATCACACTATTTGGCCTGCCCTATATCTGCATTTCCTGTATCTCCCACTATCTGGTCTGCCCTATATCTACATTTCCTATATCTCACATCATCTGGTCTGCCCTATATCTATTTCCTATATCACACTATTTGGCCTGCCCTGTATGTATTTTCTATATCACATTATTCCTACTAGACTTGCTCCAAGGAGCCAGCCACGCTACCCCTGATTGATCACGATCCAGTTACAGGGACACAAAGGGTTATCCCGTAACAAGACCAGGTCTGCATAAAGCCCAAAGCTGCTCTTCGAGAGCCGCCCGTACCCGCTATCGTGACGAGGCCGCTGTCGCTAACGGTGACGACGTGGTTGCGGGATATGGACTGCGTGTCTTTGGAGTTGGGGTCGGTGACCAGGGGACGAATGCCGCTCCATGCTGCCAACACGTCTCCTCTTCTCACTGTAAGAGAGAGAACAGCCAAAATCAGCCAAAATCAGGCAGGTATTGATCTCCTGAGCCTCCCGGGTCCTTCTGGCACCGCACAAGGACTGCACCACACCGTGCTGCTTGGCTGGGCAACTTGAGAAGCTGGAGAGGATTCCCCAATGTAATGGAATAAACTGGGTTATAGAATTAAAACCAGCTCTGCCCTGATGGGCTTCAACAACGTTCTCTATCCAAAACCCAGTTGGGGAAAGGAGATCTGCTCTTTGTACTGATTAAAATCCAGTGAATGGAGATGTGCTGGGAACTGATCAACCAGGAGAGAACACTGTCAAAGTCATCCAGCAGCTCCAAAACACCCCAAACCCTAACCCAAAAACAAACCCAACCCTACCCAAAACCAAAACCCCACCCCAAGGCCAAACCCAAAGCCCTAACCCCAAAACCCAAAGCCCTAACCCCAAAACCCAAGCCCTAACCCCAAAACCCAAGCCCTAACCCCAAAGCCCCAAACCCAAACCCTTCCCCCAAAGCCCCAAACCCAAACCCTACCCCCAAAGCCCCAAACCACCAAACCCCACCCCAAACCTCAACCTCTACCCCCAAAACCCAAACCCCAAATCCCAACCCAAACCCCAAACAAAGCCCTAACCCCAAACCCCAAGCCCTAACCCCAAAACCCAAGCCCTAACCCCAAAACCCAAGCCCTAACCCCAAAGCCCCAAACCCAAACCCTTCCCCCAAAGCCCCAAACCCAAACCCTACCCCCAAAGCCCCAAACCACCAACCCCCACCCCAAACCTCAACCTCTACCCCCAAAACCCAAACCCCAAATCCCAACCCAAACCCCAAATCCCACCCCAAACCCACACCCCCAGCACCGAGCCTTCTCCTGGCCCATTAGTGCTGTCAGCACAGCCCTTACACACCCATGGACCAGACCATATTTGGGTTTCTGAAACGTAAGGTAACGTTTGCACCACAACCCCAAAGGGCTTGGGGTCGCTTCCCAAAAGCCATAAATGCCCATTTGGTGTTTGGTTGGGTTTTATTTCCCCTCCTGTGCTATACCTCTGCTTCTCCAGCTACAAGTGCATCCCCAAAGCCAGCCCT